GACCCATCTCTGAGTAACACGGGCCTGCCTAACCCTGTGCTGCAAGCTGAGCATGAAGCTTCCATCCCTGATCCGCAGCATTTACTCTCTAGGGGTTCAATCCTACATCTAGTTCCAGGGGCTCAGGCCCCTGGTGCCTGTGCTAAATTCTACTGATGTCAAAGGAACGACACTTGGGTGCACAGGTCTCCTTCCCTGCAGGGATTCCTATTGGTAGGCCTGAGACATGGGAGGGTCTAATGGTATATACTACAAAGAAGAGCCCGGGGAATGAAGGCAGGGCTAAGGGTGTTGCTTAGCTGGTAGTTTCAGTGCAATGGGTTATTTTTTAATTAAAGTTTTTCTTTTTTTTAAGGACTCGTTTTTTGGAAAATGACCCAAGATGATGCACAGTTTTTGAAGATGACCCAAGAGGCGAAGGAGATAAAGCAAACTCATTTGTTAAGGAAATAATCATTTGCTGGGCAAGAATTATAGACCTGATGCCCCCCACATAGCAAGACTGACGAACACCTCTCATGCTCGGACACTATCTTGAGATGGTTTGTCCAATTTGAACCAGTATGGGCTACACTTTCTGTACCAAGCACCTGAGTATTTTTTGTTTTGGGTATACTTAAGGTGTTTAATGAATGAGGAGAGGGAATGGCTGGGACGGAAGTAATGATTTCATGGATGAGGCACCTGAATGCTGCTCTGGAGAACTGGATTCTATCCCTGGCTCTGCCACAGAGCTTGTGTGTAATGCTGGTCAAATTCCTTAATTTCCCTAGTTTGTCTTTAGCTGCACATTCCTTATTTTCTAGGTGGCAAATGTGAAACATTTCCAGAAGTATGGAGCACATACCACTCCAGATGTAGTCAACAGAAGTTGTGCTTTGGGCATGTAAAGTGTTACAAAGATGGTTGGCTTCAGTTTTCTCAAGCTGGGCACTCAAAATCAGCAGACACTCGAGAATTTTGGCCTTAATCTTTCTCTGCCTCAGTTCTCCAGGTGTAAGCTGAAAATAATACCAACCCCCCTCACCTTCCATAGCCGCTGTGAAGCTAAACTCACGGACATGTCCGAGGCACTCCGGTATCACGGAGAGTGTTCTACAGCAAAGCCCAGGGGGAAATGAATACTTCTATGTTCCATGCAGGGTTTGGACAGCAGGCAGTAAATAAGATTGGGATGCAGGTGTTGAAGGAAGAGGGTTAAAAAAAAAGAAAGAAAGAAACATTGAATAGCACTCAGTGAGCACTGTCTATTCTATGCCTGAAATGAGGTAAGGGGCATGGGGAAAAAAAAATTAACATGTGCTCATAAATATTGTGTCATAATGTGCACAGGAGGTTGAATTCACACCACACAAAAACCATAATTCTGGCATTTCTTAACTCATGAACACCTGACTTTACATAATCATAATACTCCCATAATATCTTTCTTCCCATAAGATATTCAGAGAAAAAAGAATTTCCAACACAGATTTTAGACACATCTGTCACTGTCTCAGTCTCCATGACTATGAACCGACTTTCACAGTTGTTCTTCTAGTGACATGTCTAATGTTGTGGACTTAGACACTTCTGAACATTAAACCCCAAGGGATCTTAGAGTCTAACTCATTTTCAAAAGTGGCTTTGGCATTTGGGAGACAACGTATTACTGAAAATCAGGACGGTTTAGTTTTACTTATGTTACTTTTCTCCAGAAGAGTTATATCAGCTAGGG